TTGAAAGAGAAATAAGAAGCCTATATTCTATAGCATATCGAATCTGCAAAACAAAAATGTGCTACAAATGCATTCTCCGTTACACGTCAACAATTTTTATATTAATTTCGTAATATGTTTAATATAAATTAAATTATTTAATTACTCGTTCAATTTCCATGACTTTATATATATATATATATATATAAAAGGTTTAAATCTCAAAAAAAAGCTATTTAATCCATGTATTTAACTTGCCTTTTACTGTATTTTGAATTGATTATTGTAAATAACAATTGTATCTTACATTGCTAAGAATCATATGCATTTTCATTGTTATTTTCTAATTGTATCTTGCAAACTGTATAGAAAACAATGTCCTAAAAACTATGATCTATGCAATATGCATTGTAATATCGTAAAAATATGAATATATATAGTAAAAAGAAAGCAAATAATTAAATGATGTTTTAGGCCAGAAGAATCTTCCGACATGGGACTTGTTTATCCCTGCTATGATACAGCTTTTAAATTGCTATTATCGGCAAGATTTTGCTCTGCTGTATGGTGTCATATAACAGACTGTGATGAAACGTATAATTACTGGGAACCAGTGAGTTTATAATATAATTCAATTCAATATTACATAAACTTAAAAATACTACAAAAATACTATACTTCGAAATGTATACATTCTTTGTTTCATCTAATATTTCTTTAAAAAATGTTAAAAAATAGAATTATTTCTTTTATGAAAACAAATAAATGATTCCTAGAATATCTTCAGTAAGCAAAATTAGTTAATAAAATAAGTTAACAGTATATTATCAAAATATTGCAGCGAATTAGTATCAACTATGTGTGCATTAAATTTATATTCTGCCAATAGAACTTTCCAATATAATTCAACAGAAATCGAGAAAAATCTGCCATTTTGTAAATATTTTAGTGGAATTATTTAATTGTAATAAGTGGTATCATTTGAATAGTTATGCAATAGCAGATTCTGTTACATTTGTGTTAGTATTCTGTCAATAAAATTTGTAGTAGACATTTTACAAAATCTTTTCGGTAGACTTTACTATTTTGCAATGTGGACACAACAAATTTCTCCCATTCTTTGATATTTTTAATGAATATAATATACTTTGACAATGCATTTTGTTATATCTGCTTATATCTTGTCTTAGAGTCATTTCTTGCTCTACGGAACCGGCCAGCAAACGTGGGAATACAGTCCTGAATATGCCTTACGTTCATATATGTACTTATTAATTCACATGGTACCGGCAAAAGTTTATCATTATTTATTGGAACCAAATCCCGCATTAGTTTTCTATTTTACGCGATGCTTCCTATCTGTGGGTTGTACATTATCTGAAGTATACTTTTACAGGTACGTTTTTCCCTTAAAACTAACCCATAAATATATGTAAGGATTGACACATTATTTTTTATAACATATAATTCTGTTTTCTAGGAGTGTCTGCCGCGAATTTGGAATCCATGTAGCGAGACTTACATTTGTATTCCTCATTTTCAGCTCTGGGATGTATATCTCCAGTGCTGCGTTTTTACCATCGTCTTTTTCAATGTAGGTACAATTACAAAATGAGAAATATATTAGTTACTCTCTATACATAATTTACTTATACATTACATATTAATATTTATCACAGGTATCTGAGTACTGTTGCTACAGCAGCTTGGTACGCTCGCCAGTATGAATTGGCCATTTTTGCTACCGCTATCTCTTCGTTACTTGGATGGCCATTCGCTGCGTTGCTCGGGTAATTTTTATACTAACACGAACGATTTTGGCATTATACATATTATAACAAAGAAACTCATTTTCCTTACTTTACTTTTTAGGCTTCCCATCGCCGTTGAAATGTTAATACATAAACGAGATTGGATCAAATTCATAAAATGGGTCATTATATCTGCTGTTGTAATTGTGATACCAATGGTATGGGTGGATTCCTTGTACTTTGGCAAACTTGTCATCGCGCCATTAAACATCATATTGTACAATGTTTTCACCAACCATGGACCTAATCTTTATGGCACAGAGCCGTTCAGTTATTACATCATCAATGGATTCTTGAATTTCAATTTCGTCTTTATTGGTGCATTGTTCGCACCCTTAGGCTTAGTAAGAATTTTAATAATTTATACTCAATCTATACAAAATGTCTCAAATATCGCACGCTTTCTGTGAACTACAGATTCTTCAAACTTGAATAATTCTCTTCCAACTTGAAAGTTTGAATTTTGCTAAATGAAAGTTAAATATTGTATTTCTTTTTTGTTGATATTACGGTTTGTAAAGTTTTCTCGAAATTGACAATAAAAGCAGTAAAATATATTTATCTTTCCAAAAACTATAATTATATTTAAAGTCATTTAATTTTCAATAGATAACTGTATTATTATAAATCAACTGAAAGTGAACGATAATTGTAATATCTTGTATAACATGATTTATTTCAGTATTTTAACTATATTTATAGTTTTTAGTATGGCTGATCGTGCCAGCAAGGCATCGTCCAAGAGACCGTTCATGTCTTTCTTACTGGTATTCATTGGCTCCTTTATATCTATGGATTCTTGTATTCTTCGTTCAGCCGCACAAAGTACGTATAAAATATGATTGGTAATAATATTATTAAGAGAAAAGTGAATACATTTGAACATTGCGTTTTTACATGTACAAGGAACGCTGAAAATTTTCTATTTTCCGCGATATTTAGATTATTCAAATGTGCTATTGATGTGTAACGATAAAATAGAAAACGAAGGAATTGACGAAATAAATATGTCAACAGGAGGAACGGTTCTTGTTTCCAGTGTATCCTATGATTTGTTTAGCAGGCGCTATAGCGGTGGATATTGTACAGAAGTTATACTTTTATGTTAGAACGAAATTCAATCCATCGCATATCAGTTGCCACTATTTGCAATATACTGTACACATCACTGTTCTAGCAATACTAATATGTGGCCTCTTGGGATTATCAAGATCATTGGCGATATATAAAGGTTATTATTATTATATGGAAGACGATTTTGTTCAAATAATAGGAGTTTAATAAGAAGTTTATGATTATGTGCGTTAGGATATTATGCTCCCATGGAAATTATGACTGAAGTCAACAAATTGGAAACAGAAGGCGATATACCTAGAGACGTTGACATAAACTTCTGTATTGGAAAAGAATGGCATCGTTTCCCTAGCAGTTTTTTTTTTCCGTCCACCAAGTAAGTGGAAAAATTAGCGCACAATACTAGTTGCTAGTTTCAAAAGTTTAAAAAATAAAAATTTCCGGGTTTATGAAATTCTATTGTTGAAAGAGAGAGATATGTTAAAGAACACATCTCTACCGCTAGTGCAAACATATAATATATATAGTGATATATTTCTTTAATTTGATATAATTACATTATTTTTAAAATCATTTTCAGTTGGAAGTTACAATACTTGAGATCCGAATTTAAAGGACAGTTACCTCAACCCTTCTTAGATCATGAAAATGCAACAAGTGTAATTCAAGCACATTTTAACGATATGAATAAAGAAGAACCATCGCGTTATGTACGTACCTATCTTATATGCAGATAAAAATATTATCTGTTACTACATTTTAAATTATAACAGTTACTGCACTATAGATATATTATCACATCTCTGCCTTTTGCTTTCAGTTTAATCTAGATAAGTGCCATTTTCTGTTAGATTTGGATATAGAAACTGAAACAGCTCTAGAACCGAATTACTCTCGCCTAAATCAACAGTTTATTATTGTGAAATCTTCTAAATTCCTAGATGCATCAAAGTAAGTTCAAAGCTTTTATTCGCATATACATATATATAATATGTTAACTGTAATTAATGAAAATTATATTTATATCTGATATATCCTATTATCATTTATGTTACAGATCACATCCATTCTTTAGAGCTTTTTACATTCCATTTGTATCTCATAAGTTTTGTAAATATGGTACATATAATTTATTACAAAATAACTTTAACTCCATGCTTTTACCATCAAAGCAAAGAAATTCCAAGTTTTCTTAAGCAAAAAACAGAGTTTTAGAAACAAATTAATATAATTAATTGATTTAATATAAGAAAAATTAAATTTATTATTTTATAGAGCATTTTTAATATTGCATATGGATCCAATATTCATACTATGTTGAAAGTAATTGTATGTATATATGTATGTATAAATGTATAATGTGTATATATATATATATTATATGCGTATATGTACGTGACGCATAATTCCGCTTGAAAGCGATTGATTCGTAGGTTTCAGAGTCGATCCCATGTATTCCTCAATGTTCCAATCTCAATTATTCCTCGGCCACATTTTATGAGGAGTTAAGATCTAAAGCTAGTAAGTTTATTAAGTAAAAATTAAACTTATATTTAAAAACTTCAAGAAGCTAGGCATCGAACAGTGACGAAAACTGTTATAACCGATATATAAACACCCTGTACATAAAAAAACTATATTGAAAAATTGTATTAAAACTGTTTGGTAATTTTATTGTAAAAATGCTGATCTTTTAAAATATATATAACTGTTTGCACAATTAATTTCGAAATAGTATTTCGACAAAATAATAATTATATAGGGAATCTTTAGTGATATATCTTTATAGCAAAATTAAATTTGTAAAAAAATTTTTCAATAACTGATAAAAATATATTTCAGCTGTATTATGTTTAAAATATTCAGAAATATAATTATGTATAAAAGAATCAAATTAACCCTTACATATGCTTACTAAAATACAATTATTTCTAAATGGAGGGATATTATAACATGAAATATTCAGTATGGAAAAATTTAAGTAAAGAATCAAACGTTTTTTGAAAAAATTAAAAAATATTTATTTAAAAAAATCGGATTTATTTAATTTTTGACAAATATTTAGAAATTTTATTCTAACAAAACTGTTACGTTATGGCAAATCATCTTAATGCAATTATTGCAAATTTTCGCGTCAATTCATTAGTTAACTAATACTTCCACAATTTGTCTAACAGAGTAAAATTTCCGTAAGCGTGCAATTAGTGAATATGTAAATACATGAGTTTGCTCTATTTCATCTCTATAGATTACATTTATGACATCACCTATCTCTTTTCCAGGTGGTAACTGTACATTACCATTAGGCAAAACTTTCATATGCTTTTGAACATTCGATAACAAATTTAGAAGTAAATACCATTTTTCTGACGGCACTCTATATTCCTCCATCAATTGAACAAGTTTCTCTCTAGTAGTAGTCGTCATTGTGTTCATAACAAATTTTCTTTCTCTTTTTGCTTCCAATCTCAATGCTTCTTGCCAAGCTTCAGGAGACACGACATGCTCATTGCCTTCACTAAGAAGTGATTTATATATCTGGACAACTTGTTTAGTTCTAAAATCTCTTACTTCAGTAAATGCATATTTTTTGAGATACACAGCAAAACAGGTCATTAGAGCAACAGCTACTTCTTGAGATCTTTCTTCTTCCTTATCATTTTTGAAAAGAGTTGCCAAACAAGTTGGGAGATTTTTTAAAAGATATATGTAATGTGACCTATCTTCCTCCATTATACAATGAAATCTTTACAATTAATTTTCTATAATGTGTGAGGCGTTTCTTTTCTAATTATAGAAATTTCCCTTAGATTGTAATAGACAGTTTGTATATGTGTACCTGCAATGATATTACCAAACAATCGCAACACAGTTCTTCTGTTATAATCTGAATTATAATTCGCATTGTCATTCTAATTCGAACACCAGTTTAACAGAATACATACGTTACATGTTACATCACCATTTATAGGTCTCTATAATGGATAATTTCAATCAAATTTCTATTAATTTATACAATTAGTATTAATATATATACTTTTCAACATTAATATAGAACATTTAAAAGGTAAATGTTAAGAAAACCTCTTTCACCTCAAATTTTGATAAAAATATACTCTATCCATGCGTTTTTGCATGAAACGAAAGAATCTGGCAGAAAAAAGTGTCGCTCTGCCTCGCGGACCAAAAGTACTGTTTCAAAAACACAAATTCACTGCTTTAAATATACAAATTCTTTGCATTAACAGTGAATTTATGTATTTAAAGCAGTGAATTTTTGTTTTTGAAACAGTACTTTTGTGTTTTTAAAGCACCGATCTTTTGTGTTTTTGAAGCATGTGGCCAGAAAGCATGAAAATGTGATAAAATGTTCGCATCGCACTGTTTCGTGACAGACAGATTTCCTAACCTAAATAGTCAATTTTAACGCTTAATCTCGGTTCGCAAGGCAGAACGACACTTTTTTCTGTCAAATTCTTTCGTTTCATGCAAAAATGCATCGATTGAATATATTTTTATCAAAATTTAAGGTGAAAGAGGTCTGCTTAACATTTACCTATTAAAATTTTGTTTCAACACGTGGAAAATTAGGTTAGTTGAAGTTAATTATAAAAGTAATACAAAACAAAAATTGTGTAACTAAAAAATTTATTACTAATTCGTAGTATTTGTTAATATATAGTATTAGTTGTTTCTGTATAAACAATTCTATCGATTGTGTTAATCCAAATAAATTAAAATAAGTTCTACAAAAAACTCACGTCATTTCAGTCTAGTCTAGACTGTTTTATACCTATCTCACTTTAAGTTCGAAAAGTGTACACCAGTTCAACTACAGAAAATAGACAAGGAGGAAAGGCGGAAAGAAGTGAGGACTGCATATTGTGTTACCATTGACAAGATAGTAGACAAATTGAATATTTTTTATTTATTTAGGTCTATATAATTTGGGAATCTCTCTCGTTTGGAGAAATTTGGGAAATAGTATTTTTCTTATAATTAAAAAATTTTTTCATGCGTCAAATTAGCAGACAGCGATTTTATTTATTATGTATTTTATGAATGGAATCGATTAGAAATTATTTGGGAAAGACGTCTTCATTATTATTTTCATTTTTGGGAAAAGTCACTATTTGGTAATTCAATAGATTTATAGATTACAAAAAAGAACAAAGCCCGGATGTAGTATGGGTGTAATATAGTAAACCTAAAATCGTCAAAAATTAATCAATTAAGCCCGGATCTAATTATGCGTAGTAAGAAATTATGTGTATAGTAAGAAATCAACTTAATCATAAACTTAATTATATTCGACTAATTTTCTTCACTTTCAACTGTGATTGGTCAATTCCTTATGGCTTAAGGAAAGAATTATAATATACAAAGTAATCAGATACAATAAAAAACATAATAAAATATAATACAATAAAAAAAAAGACTCAAACATTTTAATATAAAATATAAAAATTGTTTATAAATTTTTATAACACTTTTGCTTTTAAGTTTAAGATATCTCGTATACAAAATGCATATCATAACACAAAATTCGTGTGTATCTCAAGAAAATCCGAATTCTGGTTCTGTAGTATCAATCTTTACGTTTTTATTTAATAAATTTAATCTTTTAATGATACAATCTTTATTAATGGATCCTTAAACGAAAATTTCAATTTCGCATCTCCCCTACTGTGAAAATAAAAGTTGTTGAATATTAAGAAACTCGAAGCTGAATATTCAAACAAGTTAATTTAGCGAATTTTGTCTTATAATATGCGCTTGCATAAAAATGAAATTACCGCGTGGGCGGTATTTTTGATATTTCAATATGAATCATTAAAAAGAATAATGAAAATTGAGATATAACGTTGAAATATCAAAAATACCGCCCACGCGGATAATTACAAATTACGTTT